AACTTTAAGATCATCGGCATACATGAACGGCTTACCATTCTGAAATAAATCGGGTACATCATTACCGAAAAGGCAAAATAGAAGTGGGTCGATTACACTACCCTGAATGACTCCAGTCCTCACACGTGTGGGGTTGGAGATAGTATTGGAAATCATAACTCGTTGTGTACGACTGCCAAATAAGAGGATATAAAATTTAAAAGTTTGCCACCTATTCCGAAAGAGGACAGTTTCAAGAGAAGTAGAGCATGGTTGACACGATCAAAAGCTTTTGTGAAATCGAAATATACTGTGTAAAGTGTAAAACCATTGTCCATAGATTGGAGAACATAGTCAAAGAAAGAGAGCTGACAGGTGTCACAAGACCGAGCTTTGAGCAATCCATGCTGAGCAATACACACTAGGTTATTCTCTGTTAAGACGCACATATTCTTATCTTTGTTGAATGTCTCTAAGATCTTCGAAACTGCGGGGAGGGTGTTTATTGGCCGAAAGTCATCAAATGATGTGCATTTTCCGTGCATAGGAATGGGCAAAATGTGTGACTCCTTCCACAAGGTAGGATTAATTTCACTTCAAGAGCGAGATTTAATATCTTGCATAAGAGGGATGAGAAAATCGTATTTACATCGGCTTTTAAAATGATTACTGGGCCACCATCAGGGCCTGGACTACAAGATTGAAGAAGACGCCACATCGCAAAAGTCACATCCCACAGAGTAAAAGTTATAGTTTCTAGAACTGCCCGGTCAATGCCTGGATGGTCGGAAGCGGAGTGGTCGAGTCTTCAATAATCGTTTTGGACAGGAAATCATTGAAGCTATCAGCGGTAAACTTGGCATCAACTATGGGATTTCCGAGAGCGTCTCGGTGGATGGGATGCTGCGTCTTTCTGTGAGTTAGTAGTTTTATAGAGAAAAGTTTTGAGACATTTAACAAATGGTTTTCGGTAAACTGGACCTCTTCGGCTAGCTGTTTTTCTTCAGACAATCTCTTAGCTCGATCAAAAATATCACGAATCAAGGGCAGGACCGAAACATCGTTCTGAAGATGGAAACGACGATAAAGCCTGCGCAATCTGCGACGAAAGGGTAAGGGTAGGAAAACTTCATCCCCAACATTAATAATTTTCTTAAGGGGGACAAAACGAGAAATAAGGGGATCCAAAATTTCGTAAAGATTTGCAGTGCAAACATTTACATCCGAATTAAGAAAGAAATCAGTCCAGTCGTAGGAATTAATGTGTGTTAATAATTCGGTTGATTAAGTTGATCGGAAATCGCGGAAAAAAGCTATACTTCGGGGACAACGTTTTGTCAGCCTCGAATTTCAACGTTGAAACAACTATGTCATGGTCTGAGCCCTCGAGTGGGCCAAGAGATGACAAAGACGAAAGTATGCAAACTCTACAAAAAATTTGGTCAACTATGCTTGATCCTCGGGTTGGCAAATCTACAACCTGAGTCCACATGCCAACATCAACAGCCTCAAGAAAGTCTTCGAACCTTCTGGGGCCTGAAGGCGGAGACCAGCGGACTTCGGGGAGATTAAAGTCACCCGCAACCAATTGATACTTAAAGCTTTAGTCGGCCGCAGCATGAAATGCCTGTGAGAGTAAACGATCAAAATTATCGTTGGCGTTGGGAGGACGATAGACGCAGCCAACGAGTAAGGCGAACTTATTTTTAGTGAAACTTGGAGATAACAGCTGCCTTCTACTGCGGAAAAATGCGGGAGGTCAAGCGGCAAAAATGTAAGTGTTTGCTTAACGTAGACGCAACTGTCCCCACCACGACTGTCTTGGCGATCATTTCGAATGCAATTATAGCCTAGAAGCGAGAGTTCGGAGTCACCTACGGAGGCTGATGCCCACGTCTCAGTTACTAAAACAATATCTGGAGAGTGGACGTACACCAGAATCTGAAGCAAGGGCATCTTATTAAGCAAGGATCTGGCATGAAAAACAAAAAGTTTGGGGGGAAAGGCTTTTTGTTTTTGAGGGAGTTGTGCTACGCCGTCCAGTGCTGGGCTGCCCACGGAGCAAACGGTCCGGATGTACCCATCCGGTTCTGCAAAATATTTTGTGGCATCAAAAGTTTCTGACTTGGATAAAAAGGGGTAGGGCTTGGGGGAGGAAATGACGGGCGGGTAAGCTGGTAAACATTGTTATCTAACTTATTTTCAGCTAGAAATCCGCGGGCCAGATACTGCAACATATTCTCGCCGGAACAAACTGAGGATTGGATGAGTTAACTGATCCAGTATGGACATTAGCGTGAGGAATACATTGGTAAAACGGCTATGGAGGAAACATGTTAGGAGGTGGGGGACGCATTGTTTCCGTTGGAGCAAGAGTTCTGTTAAACGTTGGGAAAATCTGCACATTAGGCCTAACTGCCTCGATAAGAGGGCTCGGGGCAGTTGAGAAAACGCTACGTTTTGAGTCGGGGTGTTTGAGGCACTGTTAGCCGATTGTGGAGGAAAAGATTTTATAATGGTGCTGGATTTATTGGGGGTCCGAGTGTCTGTGACGGGAATTGGATTTTTCCTTTGACTTGGACATATGCTTAGGCTTACTAGAGGTTGCTGGGGGAGTTCATAGAGACGTGTTTATACCAGGCGTGTTGGCGTGTTTAAAGATCTCAGTATTAAGAGTAGTTGAATTCCCTACGGAATTGACTATGTCGTGACGTGCAGAGGCCGCAGATGGTGTTGTAGAGG